GCACGCCAAAAATATCTCCCTCTTATCTCCAAAATGCCCACACTCCATCGCAGGATAATAATACGGCAATACCACGAGTTAAGAACGTAACTTGTTCACATGGATTTTGTTCGCTAGGCGAGTGTTAGAACATGTAATCGGAGGGAGAACCGTGGCTGTGCATACGTACGTGCGTGCGTGCGTGCGTGTGTGTGTGTGCGTGTGTGCGGGCGTGCGTGCGTGAGTGCGTGCGTGCATACGTGCGTGTGTGCGTGCGTACGTGCGTGCGTGCGTGCGTATGTGCGTGCGTGCGTGCGTGGATACATGTGTGTGTGTGCGTGCGTACGTGCGTGTGTGCGTGCGTGCGTGCATGCTTTTGCAGTTCGTGAGTCGCACTTGTAAATATGAGAATGAACGAAGCGTTGTTCGTACATTAGGATGCCATGCATCATGTTAGCGTGCTCGTCCGTCGAATGTTCGTAAATGCTGATGTTCGTATGTTCTGATGTTCGTATATTCTGATGTTCGTATGTTCTGATGTTCGTATGTTCTGATGTTCGTATATGTTCTGATGTTCGTATGTTCGTATGTTCTGATGTTCGTATGTTCTGATGTTCGTATGTTCTGATGTTTGTATGTTCTGATGTTCGTATGTTCTGATGTTTGTATGTTCTGATGTTCGTATGTTCTGTTGTTTGTATGTTCTGATGTTCGTATGTTTTGATGTTTGTATGTTCTGATGTTCGTANTTTATTGATGAACTATATATATGTTTATTGTCATTTGATGACACATAAATCACTCTTGGCAAATAATAATAATATTTATTACTAAAAGTATTAATCCCATAACCAGTGAAATCACTATGGTTTAAGTTTTAGCATTGTCCTACTACAATTCCAAAATTTTGATACATTTTGTACCATTTGAAAACTAATTCATGCAATCTATGCTTACAACTCATAGGAACATGTAGATGGATAGTGGAGCACAAGCTTTGCGTTAATATACGAAAAAAATTAATATCAATGGTGTTTCGTAGTTAGTATAGATACAACCGATTCACAGTATAGATTGAGTAACAAATTTCCAAGATAAAGTTAGAGAGAGAGAGAGATGGGGGAGCCAACTGGACAGCGGGTTAGAGAGAATGTGAGATATGCATAAAACAAAGTGTTGTGTAATTTTCTGCGCGTTTAGGAAAGACGAAAATGGCTGGACCATCACAGAGCTGAACATCAAACGGCAAAAACCTGTTTAGTGATTAATACTAGCTTTCGCACCTCCGTGAAGGTGTCCTGGCAAGTTCAGATAATTAACACCTTTGTTTCGTTGACACCAACCACGACGGGTTTGCGTCTGTTGAGATGTTTAGAAACTAGAGGTTTACCTTGTCTACCTCAATGACAAGGAAATAACTAAACAAACATTCACACTCTTTTCTTTCCTTCTACAGCTAAATATATCCAGCTCGGAAACAATGGACTATAAGAGAAGGGAGGAGCGTGATAGTGATTAGGAGATGATGAAGGGAGATAGGAAAATGTTTGAGGAGGTGAAAGGATGCATGGATGGTTTATGGGCGATTCGTCTACTTTTCATTTGGTCTACTGACAATTCGTCTACAACCGATTCGTCTAGGGGGGTCTGCAGGCTCCTCTCTGCTAGTCTCCTCTCTCTCTCTCTCTCTCTCTCTCTCTCTCTCTCTCTCTCTCTCTCTCTATCTCTATCTTTCTCTCGCCTTCTAAATTGTTCTTGTTCTGCTTGC